AGGGATCATAAGGGACACCACACCAAGGACAGCTCTGGTTTAACTCCATTTTACCCCCAAGGGCTGGGCAAAGCAGAGGATGCAAAGAGGCCAAGCCATCTCCTTAGTTTACAGCCCTTCCTGACACCCTGACTGTCCCTGTAGCACCTATTTAGTCATTCAGCATGAACTGACTGCCAAGATAAAGCTTAGGGATATTTAGCCGAATGACTGCCCAGGGACCTGGATAGGTAGGAGGCTCCTTAGGGACTGATGGATGAACCCTTTAAATCAGAACATCGAGCATGCCTGGTGTCTGTGTTGCAGGTCTATTTATTCATAAGTCACTTAGGCTGCATGGAGACGTCCCACTAGGTACATGGCAAAGGAAAGGATGGCAGAAGGTGTGGGGAAAGTGAGCCAGGTGAAAGAGTTCAACTTGCATGGTTTCTCCTCACCCATGCTGCCATTCATGTATTTATCTTTAAGTAACATTCTATAAGACCTATCTCTGAAAGAACCTAAGGCTTCATCAGTCATTGAGCCCTGGGGTCTATAACCTTTCTTCACAAAGGGCCAGATAGCCACATCTTAGGTTTTGTGAACCATATAGCCTCCATTGCCACTCCCCAGCTCTGTGTACAAGCAGCCATTAGCCTCATATAAATGAATGAGTGCAGTTAGGTTGCATTACAACTTTACCAAATCAGGTGTCGCAAACGATTTGGTGGATAGTTTGCTCAGTCCTGTTTCAACCCTATGTTAGTTTTGCTCTTTCTTTACTCTTTCTTCCTTTCTTTCTCTCCTCCTTTCTTTTTTCCTTTTTTTTTTTTCTGTTTGTCCTTTTGCTAGGTTGTATCATACACATGGTGAAGGGCACAGAACACAAGAATGAAAAAGACAGGCATTATTTTACCCTTTGTGGAGCTTGTAATAGGGAATATTGATGACGAAACAAATCATCGAATGAAATATTCTGGCAAATGATGATGATAGGTACCTAATGTTCATCTTCATTTCTTATTAGAATCCCAATTTCTTTCTTTCTCTCTCTCTCTCTCTCTCTGTTTTTGCTATTTGTTTTGTTTGTGTTTTTAGTTTGCTGTAGGGCACATGCACTTGCCAGTGAGAGACAGACTGAGTGAGAGAGAGGGAAAGTGAGAAATTGCCCCAGGGAAAATGGCCATACTGCATTTTCTTCTCCTTCATTCTCGTCTCAGGATTTTGGGCATGCACACACATGTGCCTGGTATGTTTTCCAAGCCTTCAGTTCTGGGACTCAAGCCACTCAATCAACCATGTGGGATCCATCTTCCTTAACCACCATGCCACCAGAACAACATCCATTTTAAACATAATTTTGAAAGTACTTAGTTTCCTTTATTAAATATCTTTCTGATTTTCAAGCTACTGGGTCTGGGACTTGAATTGCAATATTGGCCATGTGGGATCCAACTTCCTTAACCTTCACACTGCTTGCTGGTCCTACAATAGTGTTCCAATTTCATTAACAGTGACAATGTCTGAGATTCTTTTTTTAAAGTTTATTTATTTCCTTCATGAAAGAGAGGGTGAGAGAGAGAGAAAGACCTAACACAGCCCTCTTGCTGTGATCCACACGTGCATGCATGCCTGACACACATAGAGAAACCTCAGGACATAAACCCAGGACCCTTCTATGTGGCTTCTGCATTTGCAAAGTGTGTGCTGCTGCTATGCCACCATGGCCACCATGGCTGGTCACAATGTCCTGGAATTTAAAAAAAGTATATTATTTATCTAATTTTATTTATTTACTATTATTTAACTTGCTATAGGGCATGTGTGCTCATCAAAAAACATAATTTTGAAAGTACTTAGTTTCCTTTATTAAATATCTTTCTGATTTTCAAGCTACTGGGTCTGGGACTTGAATTGCAATATTGGCCATGTGGGATCCAACTTCCTTAACCTTCACACTGCTTGCTGGTCCTACAATAGTGTTCCAATTTCATTAACAGTGACAATGTCTGAGATTCTTTTTTTAAAGTTTATTTATTTCCTTCATGAAAGAGAGGGTGAGAGAGAGAGAAAGACCTAACACAGCCCTCTTGCTGTGATCCACACGTGCATGCATGCCTGACACACATAGAGAAACCTCAGGACATAAACCCAGGACCCTTCTATGTGGCTTCTGCATTTGCAAAGTGTGTGCTGCTGCTATGCCACCATGGCCACCATGGCTGGTCACAATGTCCTGGAATTTAAAAAAAGTATATTATTTATCTAATTTTATTTATTTACTATTATTTAACTTGCTATAGGGCATGTGTGCTCATCAAAGAGAGAGAGAGGGAGAGAGAAAGTGGAAAAGTCAGCCACTGAGTCTAGAACTCAAACCATGGTCTGCCATGTGGGAGTCTAGTGTCTTAACCATAAGGCCACCTACTGGCCTCTGTCACAGAATTTGTTAAAAAGTCACTTCCCCTTCTGTTGCTGCTAGAGGCCATGTGACAGTGTTCTGGCCAAGGAGTTGTAAGCAGAAGGTCTTGAAGATATTATCCTTTCCAAATAAAAAGTTCCTTTTGCCTTTTTGATTCTTGGCCCTTTCATTTTCTTTCCACCTGGAATGCTGTTATGTTTCCTGGTAGTACAGCAGTTCAAATGGGACTGTGGGAATTAAAAGCAGTGTACTACATATAGAAGCAGGAAGGCAAAAGGAATCTGGGTCTCTTACAGCATTGTGGCTTCTTCAAACCAGCTCTGGACTGCCACCTCTAAACTTCTTGTTGCATGAACAAATAAACTTCTTATTTAAACATATTAGAGACTTTACTGTTACATGTAACTCCACAAAACAGTAGTGGACTAAATTATAATTAGTAACAGAAAAACAGGACCATTGATTAGAAATATCCAATTAATATTTGCAGTATTTGTATAAAAAAGAACCTAAGCATAACTACTCTCAAATTATTGAGATTTCATCTCATTCTGTGTATCTCAGCCCTTCACAATGCTCTCCAAAACTGTAGAGGAGAATGTGGCTTCTGGCTGGCAATTCGACCCAGCATTGTTTTAAAAATGATTTATAGTGACTGGTTGTTTACTACGTCTGAAAAACTCATACAGTCATTAACTGGGGAGGTAATGGTGGAGGGCAAATCTTAACTTAAGTTTAGAAACTTCTTCTCACAAAATGTTTCTTTCCTCATGCAGGCAAAGAAATTGAGAACATTTAGTCGTTAATTCCGTTAGTCCGAATCATTGACAGGGATACTAAGTTGATGACTCTATCTTTTGACTAGCGGGCATTTTACACATCAGGATACCTTAGTAAATGAAGAGTAATGTGTGAGGCCTGCAGGTGACTTGATGGTTAAGATCCTAGAGTCCCACCTGGCCAATCATAGTTTAAGACCTGGACCTGGCAGCTTGAAAATCATGCTTGGTGCTGTGCATATGTGCCCAAAATCCCAAGAGGAGAATGGAGGAGAAAGGATCCCAGCATGGCCATCCTCCCAAGCAGTGATTTCTCACTTTTCTTCTCTCATTTTCTCTGTCTCTCTTCAGTGAGTATACACTCCCTACGACAAAAACCTAAAAAAATTAAAAAGTGATGTGTGTTTGATTGTTTTTGTGTGTCTTATACATGCCTTAGGGGGTAAAGATAATTATGACCACCAAAGCAGGCTTTCTTTCACTAGCTGGAGAAATACCATTTAACAGCTCTGAATAAAGACCTTAATCATCAATTGAGGCCATAGTTGAGACCTCTATTAAGGGTTAGCAATAGAGAAGTTCAACAAACAGCCTGATTGCAAATAGATTATTAGCTGATTGAGAAACAGTTGACATTAATACTTAATTCTCAGAACTTGAGCACACAACTAAAATATATCTTTCATGAGAAAATGGGTGTCTTAGTCTGTTCAGGCTGCTATAACAGAACACCATATACTGGATGGCTCATAAATAACAGAAATTCATTTCCTACAGTCCTGGAGTCTAGAAAGTCAGTATACGGTGCCATCAGATTCAAAGTGTGGTGAGGGCATGCTTCATTGTTCATAAGTTGCCATTTTCTTGGGTGTTTCCAAGGGACACAAGGGGCAAGAAAGTTTTCTGGAGTCTTTTTTTATTCATTTATGAGGGTTGATTACCCATGACCTAATCACTCCCTAAAAGCCCCACCTCCCAATACCTTGAGAGTAAGGATTTCAGCATCTGAATTTAGGAACATAATCATTCAGATCATAGTGTGTATGACTTGATATGGGGGCTGATGAAATGGGAAACCAGGTAGAAAGCTCCTTGAAGGGGTTTAGCCCAAAGGAGAATGCTGCAGGAAAGAAGGAATGTATTATTCTACCTACTGTGATTAGAGCTAGGTTAAACTGCTGGCATTCTATTGACAGAAACACACTCGCTTTGATTCCTTCTTGGACACAGAATTATATAATTTAGAATCAGAGCCTTGGTCCAAGATTCATGTATTTATCACCCAGAGGCCATGCTTTTGGTAGTCAATCGCCTTAGGTATAGAAGTTCTCTTCTGTCTGCTTGATCTTCTTTTGCCTTCTCTCAGAGTTTATTGATGAACAAAATCCATTGTGGCTGTTGAACATGGCCAGGATTTTTTGTATTTTTTCAAAGAATTGTTACATGGTGCCACAACTGGACTGCATACAGAAGCTTTCTAGGAAATTTCACTCTACTTTGCAGAAGCTCTCAGCTTTTGGGTCAGCATTTTGGAAGGGAAGACAATTGATTTTTTTCAGCCTTGCCGATGCAATTCTTTTTGATGTGTATCAAGTGTATTTTGACACAATCCCTTGAGTCACTGTGGTTTTTCAATATTCTTGAGCCTATAATGAAAGTCAAGGGGGGGGGGAATCTTTTCACTTACTGTTGATTTATATTATTGATGGTGCATTATCCTCTTTGTGTTTTAGAATCTACAAAGGATAGAATTAACCCCTTGAGTCTCAAAGTAGGTACATCTCTTGCAGGACTTTGGTCGAAAAAAAGCTGAAACTGTCAGTTGTTTCACTGGAGACAAAAGAACCTCTTGAGGGATACATTTCATTCTTACACAGGTAACAATTTTTTTTTATCATTATCAATTTTACAGTAAATACAACAGCTGCAGCAGAATTTGTAGAATTAATTTTTTTTTTTTGGCTGTAAGGCATCTTAGAGAGTGTTTGCCAATTTTCTGTCTCAAAAAAGGTGTCTTCGCATCTTGATTTAGCCCTGAATAATTCAACAGAATCTCTAATAACAGACTTGTGTGTTGCAAAACCCCCAAACATGTTGTAAGCTTAAAGAGACAGCAAGAAATTTAGCATCACAAACAGAAGTCAAAGAATCAAAGCTAGGAGGTCTTTAAGGGGTAGGAGTTAGTCTGCTTTACACATGTGTTGGGTGCTTATTTTTGCTGACAATTTCCCAGTAGCTCCTAAAAGGAACAAAAAACGTTCTTGGAGGTTAGCTATTGCTCTTAATTTTCTTTTTTATGAGAGTTTCCTTCTTGTAGGTCTAGGTCTATCTTTCCTTCCTTCCTCCCTCTTTTCTTCCTCCTTTCCTTCCTTCCTCCCTCCCTCCCTTCTTTCCTTTCTTCCCACATTCCTTCATTTCCTTCCCTTCTCCTTTAAACACATAATTATTGAGTGCCTTCTACTCCTCAAACATTGTGTTAGGCCTTGAGATGTGAATGACTAATAAAAAGGAATCTAAATCCTAATCTAGATTAGAGTTTAATCTTATTCTCTCTCCCAAAGGGCAATGATTTTAGTGTTCCCTCGGATTCTGAGATATACCTTTTTTTTTTTTTTTAACAAATTTCCTCTCATCTTATTGCTTTCCTATCCCATCCTCCCCTTAGTATTCTTCAAGTGGCTACTTTTCTTTGTGTGTGTGTGATTTTCCACCAAAATTATGATGAGTGTATTGGAAACACTGACCTGCAGGAGAACATGGGAGAAAACTGGGAATGTTTGGTTTGAAAAAATTGAAACTTTAGAAAATGTCTTTATGTATTTGTTTCAAATATTTGAAATGTTGTCAGTAGAAGAGGAATTAAGCTTCAACTGTATCTTTTTGAAGGGATCCCAGAGACTAAATGGAAACAGATTTTGGTTCAAGAGAACCATATGTTTTCTAACAATTAGAATAAAGGGAATTGTACCTGACACTGTGCGGAGGAGATGGGAGTGTTTATCTTTGTGTATTTTTCTCTGTATGTATAGATCATGGTTTCTTTATTGACATTTTGGACCAGATAATTCTCTATGATGGAGATTGTCCTGTACATTAAAGGATTTAGCCAGATCTCTGGCCTCTACCGACTAAAAGTCAATAGCAGTGCCATCCCACCCTACTGTGACAACTAAAAATATCTCCAGTCATTGCCAAATATTCTCTGGGAGCAAAATTGCCTTCCATTGAGTCCCACTGAATACACACACACACACACATGTACACACACACACACACACACACACACACATATACAGGTTTATCTGAGAAGGAGGTAGGATTCTGACTTAAAAGCCACAGATTCCCTGGCAAATCACATAGTTTCTTTGGGATGTAGGGACTTCTAAGAACTAAAGTTATTGATGGACGTGAATAACCAGTCATCTGGTAGAATCAGTGAAAAATCTTGCCTGAGGTAGGGAGTTGAAGTCCATGATCTATAAAGCCTCAGTTTCCCATTCCCAGTGTTTATAATTTCATGAGTAGCTTTGGATTAATAAAATTGGTGTTTAAGAGAATATACCAAACTAAGGTTATGCAGTGAGCCCCACCATGCTACTTAGAATATGATGCAAGGTTATGGGGTTAAGAGTGAAAGAGGTTGAGCTTGTTTGGGGTTTCACTGGTCATCAAAACTGTGCTCCCTGGGTGTAGGCATGTCACTGTAAAAGCATACCCAGGACATTACTTTCTTTGGCTGAAGTTATTAGCATGTGTGGATTGGTATCAAAATGGGAATTCAATCATAAATGTCCTTCGGCTCCTCTGGTGGGTGGCTTGGCAGCTTCTTTAATCCTGTCACTTTGGAGAGACAGCTCACACGGCCCTGCCTCATTTTTCTGATGATTTCTTAAAGCTTTCACTTTATCATCATTTGTCTTTGAGCAGACTCTGCTCCGCGTGCTGGTAGTATAATCTCGGTTGCGGCATAGTCTGAACCAAGTTGTTGCCTTCGAAGGAAGTTCTGGATGGACTTCATACTTGAGTGGAACAATGGGGTCGCACACTCTATAAAGAACACAAAACAAAATAAAATGTTCCCAATTAGTGCAGTTTACAGACATGCAACACCATGGCTGCTGATCAGGGGTCTATGTTCCTTTCCCATGGGAGTCCCAAAATTCCGAGCATCTGCTTGCAGGCATAAAAAAGCGTGGTCTTTCTCATTTCCAAGTTAATCCAATGTGAGTGTGTGCTGAGTGGGACCAGAGCTTCCCGCATGGCCTGGCAGCGCTGGGCAGCTCAGCACAGCGTCGTTACCGGACCACACACGTTCTGTTTAACAGCTGGACTCTGTGCACTGGACCAGAGTGGAGAAAACTCAATGGACTTAAAATTTCTCAGGAACAGCCACCCTCGACTTCATACTGTGGGGTCTTTCACTCTGAACCCATCATCTCACCTGAATTTCAAGAGTCTCCTAAAGGGTGGCATTTATTCTAGGTGGGGCTTGCTCCTGTCCTCTTTCTGCAACACCGGTGAAATGATGTTCATAAACCCTGGTACAATCACTTCATGTCTTCACTTAAAAATGCTTTTAGTTCACGCCAGTAGGTGATATAGTAGTTAAGGGGCCAGACTTTCACGTGGCCGATGGCAGTTTGAGTCCTGGGCCTGGCAGCTTGAAACACACCAGGCACATGAGCGTGTGTACCCCAAATCCCAAGAGGATAATGGAGAAGAAGGGATTGTGACACAGTCATTTCCTGTAGGGGATGATCTCTCAGTTTCTGTCTCTCTGTCCCTCCAGTGAGCATATGCACCCTAAAGCAAAAAATCTCTTTTTCAAAAAAAAAATAAAAAAGATTTTGGTTGACACTTGAATGACCATGTGGATTCCATATGGTCAACCATAGTTCGCATCCCACCCTCAGTGGCTTGAAAAACAGGCCAGAAACTGTGCTTGCATTCCCCAAATCCTGATGGGATGGACAAATGGAAGAAAAAAGATTGAGCCACGACCACACCTCATTGGGAGGAATGTTTTCTCACTCCCTCTCTCTCTGTGTTTCTGGCAAGTATACATGCCCTTTGGCAATTAAAAAATATTTTTGATTCTTCCATGTTTAAGGAGTAAGACTCAAAATCCAACATCCTGGAATAAATACCCCTGAGAGCCATCACGTCACTGCTATGGCCCAGCCTGTGCCACATGAACCATCTTGTCCTCAACTCATAGCATGCTGTGGGTGGATTTTGTCATCTGCCACACTTTCTAATGATGATCATATCTCACATGTCTTTTTTACTGTGAAGGCTTCTTTGTATTCCTGATTAGAACAGGTTTTTCACTCTCTAAGGGCTCTGGGCACAATTCATCCAAGTCATCTTGTGCTAGCTAGTTAAGTTGTATCTATTGACATATTTGGCTATTTAGGTTTCATTTTGTTTTGTTTTCTCTAGCCATGCTAGATAAAGAATAGGCCCCTCAACGCACGGAACATAATAACTGCTCCAATGTTTTGGAATGAATGAATGGAAATCTAATTGAATAGTATGAAAGAACAGGCTATTCTCCAAATCTCAGAGGCCTTGTTTAGACTAACTTGACAAGACACATATTCCTATGGCATAAAGCAGTGGTTTAGAGCCTGAACTCTGGATTAACCTTAGCTTCACCACTTATGAGCAGCATGACCTTGGCAAATTACCTGCTCTTTCCCCATCTTGACTAGTTTATCTGTAAATGGGGATAATCACTTATTTAACTGACCCTGTAGCCTACAGGTTAAGGAAGCCAGATCCCACATGGCCAGCTGTGATTCAAGTCCCGGCTCTGGGTGGCTTGTAAAGCATGCAGGCATATGTGCACACCTGCCTCAAATCCCTATAGGATGGAAAAATGGGAAAAATGGAGGAGAAGGGATTGTGGCATGAACACACTCAATTGTAGGATACATTCTCCCTCTTTTTCTTCATTTAGGGATTGTGGCATGAACACACCCAATTGCAGGGTACATTCTCCCTCTTTTTCTTCATTTTAAAAAAATTTTTAATTTATTTTATGGGTTTTTTTTGTTGTTGTTTTCTTTGTTTGTTTTTTTTTTTTTTTTCCTGCCATAGGGTATATGCACTCCCTGGAGAGAGATAGGAACAGAGAGGAAAAGTGAGAAATCACACCCCAGAGGGGATGGCTATGCTGCAATCCCTTCTCTTCCATTCTCCTCCTGGGCTTTTAGACATACATACATATATGCCCACTGTGATTTTTTCAAGCCACCAGGTCTGAGACTCAAGCTATAGTCGGCCATGTAAAAATTCAGCACCTTAACCACCATGCTATCTGCTGGCTCCTTCATTTTGTAAATTTATTTCTATTTGTTAAATTTGCCAGAGAAAGTGTGTGCTCACTAGAAAGGCAGAGAGAGAGTGAGAGGAAAATCAAAAAAGCACCCCCCATGGAGCATGGTCATGCTACAATCCCTTTTCCATTTTTACTTCCTTTGGAGATTTAGGGCATGCACACTTGCCCAGCATGCTTTTCAAGTTGATGGGTCTGGAACTCAAACCATGCAGTCAACCATGTGGGGTCCAGGTCACTTAACTATAAGGCCAGAGGCTGGCCCTCTCCATCTTTTTCTGGAGCGCATATGGGCCCTCCGGCAAAATAATAATAATAATAATAATAATAATACCTATTTTTTGAAGTTATGAGGATGAGCTACATATTTAAAAGTACTTAGAACTGGTCCATAGTAAATACTATGCTAGTATTAACTATTGGGTCATCAAAAAAGTCATGATGTATTTTTGCATAGAAAAAAATACATTATGACTTTTCTGATAACCCAATATTATTGGAGATACCAACTCTTTCCTGAATCCCTCTAATGTAAAG